TAGGAGTAAATACAGACCCACACATGTAGCAAGACATATGTTTTTAGTGGAGCAACCGCGTCAAAAATAATTTTGAGGTTCACTGCAGCAAAAGCAACTGAAACTTGCCTTTCATCGCCAGAAAACGTCAATTCGATCGATTTTTACAGTTGTCCCTTCTGATAAGTTTGACACATCGAATATCATTCTAAACATTTTGTTGCATCCGAGTTTTGGTATTTAAAGCTCAAAATTCACGGATTTGATGTGAGGCGGCGGCGCCTGCAAAATCGCCGTGGTCCCACGCGGCGCAAAAACCCAAAACGCGCGGTGTATATATCCCCTAGAAAAGGAAGTAGCGGGAGTAAAGGTAAAAAAGGGGTTGAAATGGTGGAAATAGGAAATAGAAGGAAATTTTCGGTGATATCAACAACGATAGGACAGACCCTGTTGCACACTCCTGGCCCACTACCTCTAGATCCTGGCGGAGTCATCCTTGTCTGAAATGCCCCAACATTCTTGCGTTTCGTTTCAAATGCTACTTTTGAAATCTCAGCTCCATTTCTTGATGCCGACAAGAACCTAAAGCAAAACAGAAAGTTCAGAAATGCCTGAACTGAACTTGAAACCTGAACTTTTCAATAATTATGCAAATTACAACGTCTATTGATTGATGCGCGTAAACAGGTGGTCGAGGTGCTGCGTGTGTGCGGACAGACATAAATATTGCTGACACCAAACTTCTCGCAATAGCTCAGACGTCCGCCATGACCCCTCGCTAAACTGGGCGCTGGTTCGAAGACTTCCTTGGCCTCGTAGCATGGCTCTGTAGGTGTACTAGCGCTCCCGAACCACGTTGACGCCTTTCGTGGATCTGGGAAGATTCCAAGCGATGACAATCCGCTATTGTGACCCTGGGGAAAGTAGATGGGTGTTTTCCGAAGACTGCACATCGTTCGATCAAAATATTGTTTTTTCTGTCACGCACAGCTGCACATATGTCTGTGCTTACTCGAACATCTGAGCTGTTTATGATCCACCAATTTCGCGCTGTCCTCTGAATGTGCCCGTGGGCGCTATCCGCCCATATCCTGGGAGAATCACGCCCAGCTTCCAAAGATTTCAGTGGCTCTGGATTGGAGTCAAGTCATTGGCGGGTGTTGTGAGCACCAGCCGGCGTCGGTTGGCATTACACCCTCGGGTTTAGCCGACAAATTGCGGCGTTTTTCATTCGAATACAAAGCCCCGGGGCAACTCTTCAAACCCATCTTGTTGTCGACACTGTCTCCTCATAACTCTGGTGCTTGTGGCTGGGATATCATGGCATCAGTCATTCATCTCTGTCGTGCGTATTACATCAACGTCCGTCCCTCTGGGCCTGGTTCAGAAAGCAACTGATCTTACCTGGACGTCGTCATAGCCGCGTTTACACTGTTTATAGCCGTCGAAATGAGCACTTTCCGTCTGTCTCACTCTGCCACTCTTCGCCTCAATGGAATTCCAGAAAAGTTTCTGGCCTCGTTTTACAATGTCGCTGTCGGATGCGATCAGCATCTGTTTACCTGAGTGTTGCAGAGCATTGTGCGTGTGGGTCGATGGGTTCGCTTTGCACCTAACACATGCCTGTGTCAGTGGCTTTCGCGGAAGACGTGCGTAATTGGGGGATATGCGAAATCCATGTCGCTGTGAACGCTAAGCCCTGTCGAGGCACTTTTTGATGTCTTTGGAATTCTGATTGCTGACCAATCTTCCTCTCACTCTCTGCTTCTCCTTCACCTCAGGAAAGCTTTCGTTGACATCTGCATTCGTTTTGTGTTGCATCTGTTCCGTTCTGCTGTGGAATTCGCCTGAAGAGGCTACACGTTTTCTTTTGCTGTTTGCTTGCATTTATATAGCCGAAATCAACACTGAATTTGTTGAGATCTCGTTTCGTACTTCCTTCTCACTTCATGTTCTCATTCTACAAGTTCCCTTGAGGAGCGCTCGCGAATCCAATGGTTCCAACGTAAAAGTGTTCGTCATATAAATCGTATCCATCTGATAGCTTCCTCCCTTTCTTTTTGGCTTCCCTTTTCCCATAAATTCCCCCGCGAAATCATAGCGACCTTTGTTGACGCTCGTAAGCGTGAGCGTAGCCTTCTAAAAGATTATACTGCCAAACCAGCAATTGACCAGTTGTACTTTCCGCAGGGTATAAGGGGTGCGTTGCAGTTCTCCTCGTCAGGTCAAATCGCTTCAGAAAACGACACATCTTATTTGGTCGTAACAAGCCTAGGACTACGCCTGAGCCTGACCATAGGCTTAAGCATAAGACAGTGGGCGAAAATAAGCCTAAGCCTAATCTTAGAATTCGATCATCACGTAGCTCTGGTGACCTGACCTGCGAGGAGAACTGAACGTCTCCCGGGCACAGGTACCCCACAGGGTCATGGCTGGTTCGTTTGAGTCCTTCAAAATGTCGAAATTCGTTACTTTTCAATACAAGAGGCCAAACTCGTACGTGACTTAGTCGGGGAAAATTCCAAAAGATAACGTTGTGGGGTTAACCCAACCACAAGCTTCTAGAACTTGCCATGGGCTCCTCTGTTCAGACTAGTACTCAGAGTTCTCCTTTAATTTACCCCTTTATAAGCCCTGGGTGCGTAGCGTTTCTCCTCCTGGGGTCAGGTCACCTAAAATTGAGACGCCGTTCATTCGCTCGGAGCAAGCTTAGGACTAAGCCTAGGCCCAATCATAGGCTTAGGCATAAGCCAATGTGTAAGCATAAGCCTTAACCTAAGTCTAAACCCAAACTTAACCTTAAGCTTCAATGATCGCGCAACTGTGGTGACCTGACCCCAGGAGGAGAAACGCACGTCTCCCACCTGAAACAGTTGAGATGAAATCTTCTGGTGGGCAAGTCCACTACTGTGATTATCGTAGTCCTACGTTTGTGTCGTCGTCTGGCTTGTGTTGTTTCCACTGCCGTCGAAAACAAGTAGTAAAAAATCCAGGCTAGAACATGCAACTGTTATTGTTTTGTCACCTCTGAAGCCACCTGTGATTTCGCGATGATTCCGTCTTCCTTCTCTTCAACACCGATCCGTGCTACCAGTTCTCAAGTTCTGCTCACAGCTGCTCTATTCGTCACTGATCAGCGCTTTTCTTTGGCGTAGCTACACTGTTCGAAAGATGAAGCACCCGATGATATGTGGTGCTTTGTCTGTAGCGCCACTTCGCCCACGTTATGCTTAGAAATTCTGAAAGAAGGCCCCCATTTTGAGGGCAGTAAAGAGATAATAATAGCAGTGAATATGCAACAAACACCTCTAACCTCACTGCTTATCGCCCGTGAATTAGGGCTACCGTATCAATGTATCGAATTGCGCCATCGATGTTGCGTCACTGTACAATCGCCGGCTCATAACATTTGCAATAGAAAAGTCAATCGTTCAGCAATTCCGTTGTCCATGAAAATAAGTGGAGCAAGGAATGTGAAATATCAAACCGCATCATGCTCTGTGGAGGAGGGGGGGGGGGTTAAGGAGGTGCGAAACCTTTGGATGAAGCTCATTTGAGAAATTCCGAAACCCTGGTTTTTGAACACTGTTTTGTGTTGTGTGTTTTCAATATCATGGCACTCTCTGTGACTTCATCGCCCTTCTGTTTTCAAAGATATCTCGCTCTCGATGTTGACAAAGTCATTCGACACGTTTTTCGTCCAAGAAAATATAAACATTCAAAGGGCATGTTTTCATATTTCTATTGTAGCACGAAATCATCATATCTTTCGTGCCATTCCGAACGACAGTCTTCTGCCCGTGCTGCCGCAGCTCTGCTGTACTGCCCCTGCTCCCATAACCTGTGACCCTGCCGGGCGGACCTGACGCCCGGTGCATGGCCCATCAAGACCTGATCTCGGAATCTATTTGACCTTTGCTTATGTGTGAAAAGTTGTGCAATAGCACGATCGAGAGATCCGATTTCAAAAAACGTAAACGCCAAAGCGGGAAATCTGATGACGTACCGCCATCTACGTAGCCTTTTTTCGACTACACACGGCGAAGAGCCCCCAACAGTTCGTGGCGCTTTTTGGGCAGCCCTTTTCACGAGTGGTTGCTGCCTGTTTGATCGGGTTGGCGCAATATGAGCCTAATTAATGCCTTGTGCCCGCTACCTCTTGCCTATCAAACTTTGGTATTCGCATTAGACTTCTCACAAAATCTTTAAGGCGATCGAGAATTTTGCACGAAGGTAGCATCAAAGCTGGCCGATCGTTTGGGGCGTTAGATCTAACGATATCTCTTGAGAACGGTTTGTAATTTTTATGAAAATATGAGCTGTATGTACTTGCCCTTCGCTCAGATTCTACTCTTGATCGGAATCCCTCAAAAAATCGCCGATTCTTCCAATTTCCTGTTAACGTCCAACTTCACCTTGGGTATTTCCAATGTATTCGTGGGTAAATTTGCTAGGGAAGTAAGCCCACTACCTCGAACTTCTTTACTAGTTAACCTGTATCAATGGGTAAAGTGAAATTCCACTCTTAGGATAGGTATTTGGAATTTTGCACTGGGAATTCTCGAGTAATATAGTGGGAATTGAGGTGTGAACATCGAAAAGCGAAAAGGGGCTGTGTAAGAGCGATCGCTCAACCGATGGGCGACTTTATGAGTGAGTGGAGAATGGATGGATCACATTGGCTGTCGTAGCGGGACGTTCTCGAATTGACTACGATGACGGTGCCAACGAGTGCTTCTAATGTTTCAGAAAAACGACTAGATGCATTGTCGTCATCTGCTTCTTCTAGCGCTATGGGCACTGGTCCTATCGGCCCAGGTAAGCCGTCAGACGTTACGGAACATATGGTTCACTTTAGTTGATCGTAAATTTTTCGCCTGAGGGTGCTTGTGATAGGAAAAAGGGGGATAGTCAAAAAGTGGCAATAAAATCTCGTCTCTACTTATTCTGAGCAGTTTAATACTACCAGAGATTCCCTAACTCAATGTCAGAAGGAATATCGAGTCGAGAAAGAAGTACTCCCAAGTTGTTGTTGTGACTTTTCCCTGTGAAATGAGTGCAAAATAAAGCTAGCTTGAGGGCAGACTCAATTGACAACTTCAACACTGGCAGGACTGCTTCCCTTTGACGTCGTGAAGTGAATGAGAGTGCTTCTATTTTGACGTAAAAGGATCATGTGCTGCCTTCAGCCTTGCCTTCTCAAAGTTTCACAGGAAAGCTCTCGAAGAGCACTTTAGAAATGTCGAGCTGAG